TATTTTTAATTTTTTGAGGAGCCTCTATTGTGTTTTTCATAGTGGCTCCACATAGTGAGGATACTGATACTGGGGTTGTGAGTTCAATCCCCACATTGAGTGTAGAGATTAGTTAAAAATAAAATCTTTAGAGATGCCTGTGTGGCTCAGTCGTTAGCCGTCTGCCTTCAGCTCAGTCATGGTTCCAAGGTCCTGGGATCGAGCCCTGCATCAGTCTCCCTGCTCAACAGGGAGCCTACTTCTCCCTCTCCCATTCCCCCTGTTTGTGTTCCCTCTCTCACTCTCTCTTTCTCTGTCAAAAAAATAAATAAAATCTTTAAAAATAATAATAAAATCCTTTTAACAAAAAGTCTGACACCACATAGAATATCACACTTTTCCTACCATTTGTGGGGGGTGGGGTGGGGTGATTATTTTTTTAATTATTTTTTAAGGAGCGCCTGGGTGGCTCAGTCAGTTGGGCATCTGCCTTCAGCTCAGGTCATGATCCCAGGGTCCTGGGTTTGAGCCTCAAATAAGGCTCCCTGCTCACCACTCCTTCTGCCTGCCACTCCCCCTGCTTGTGCATTCTCTCTCTGTCTCTCTCTCTCTCTCTCTCTGTCAAGCAAATAAAAAAAATCTTGAAGTAAATAAATAAATATATATATAAAGTTTTAATGTAATCTCTATACCCAGGTAGGGCTCTAATTCATGACCCAGAGATCAGGAGTCGCATGCTCTACTGCCTGAGCCAGCCAGCACCCACCATTTTTGATATCTAAAGAAAACAGTACCTTATGTGTGAATGTTGAATTATTTTACAAAGTTATGTACTGAAACTGATGAAAATTCTGTATCAGTTTCTGTCTTGACCTATACTTGCACATGTTAGTTCACAGGGGAGCCCATAATTTGTACTAATTCCTTAAATAGATTGTGATGTTGAAATTTAATTTATATTCCTAATATTCCTTCTTAATTTTTCTTACCACATCCTCTTCTAGTATTTGATTTATCAAGAATTATTTTGTTGCCAGTTAGATAATACTCTTGTTTGTGACTGAGTACTCCCTAATTTAGGTCATTACACTGTGTTCTATTCATTCCAGAGCAAGACTCTGTTCTATCAAAGTTTCATGATTTTAATCAGTTGCTTTTTTTAAATAGGGAAAAATTTTTTTTTTTTTTTTTTTTTACCCCTTTCATCCATTTCTCCTGTCCCCAATTCTTCCTTCTGGCATCCACCAGTCTGTTCTTTGTACCTGTAAGCTTAGTTTTGTTTTGTTTTTTAAGATTCCATATATAATTGAGATCATAAATTATTTGTCTTTCTGCTTGGTTGTGTATTTTTATACTGTGGCATGGTAGCTTCTCTGGATATGTTCATCTTACATAAGCCAGTATTATACATATTGTGGGGGACAAAGTTCAGAACAGATGATTTTCGACTAGTAAGTCAATGACATTGAAGTTTTTGAAGAATTTAATATATTTTTCTTTCCATACACAGACATCAATATGATGGATATCCTTACAACACCATCAATGGCTAAACCTAGACAAGATTACTCAAGAACCCCAGGACAAGTGTTATCTCTCATCAGCTCTTTGGGATTTGTAAGTACTTGATTAGAAAAAAAGTCACATAACATGCCCTTTCATGATTGCCATTTAAAATTTAATCCTTTTTTAAAATAAATGTTCAAAATAAATTGAAGTATCAAGCATGTTGAGTTACTTTAACATTATCTACTTAGGTGGTATAACAGTTTATGTATTTAGGTGGTAATTTTGTAGAGGTAAATCTTAGCATTTGTTTTTGTTTTTCTCTCTTTAATAGTACACACCAGTTGCAGAAAAAAACAAAGACTCTGCAAATATTCTTTCAACCCATGTATCTGAAACATCGCAGCTTTCTCAAGGACTAGTTTGTCCTATGTCTGTAGATCACAGGGATGCTACTCCTTACTCTAGCAAACTACTAAATTCATGTGAGTATAAAAGAAAAAGTAGTTTATTCCATTAAATGTGTCTTTTGAGGAAAAAAGTGTTTTTGATTTTTAAATTTCTAGTATGGGTATGAAATACAAATACTTGAACAATCTGTGGCATTCCTATATTTCCTCATGTAAATGCCATTTTTGACACCGATTGTTACAGATCTTTTTTTTTTTTTTTAATAAAGATTTTATTTTTATTTTGAGTAATCTCTATACCTAACATGGGCCTGGAATTTACAACCCCAAGATCAAGTCACATGCTCAACTGACTGAGCCAGCCTGGTGCTTAAAGACTTAAAGACTTAGATCTTTAAGTCAATAGATTAAAATCCCTAGCTAATGAGAGATCCTTCCGTTAGCTTGATATTAGAATAATCATTGGGTAATTTTCATTGTACTGGGTCTATGGAAATCTTTATGTAGAGAATATATATATATAATATTTTGTGTCTGTCTTTATAAAATTATTTCCAAAAGACTTTGAAATAAAATAGTTGAAGTAAAGATAAAATTTTTCATTAAGACACAATAAAAAACAGAAGTTAAGTAATAGAGGAAGAGAATGGGACATCTGGAGAGCACTTAACTTCACCTTTCATAACTTAGCAATGGTGGATGATTTAGTTCCCTGCACTTGATGTTCTTTATCTTGGGAATGTGAATAATGATGCTTTGAGAAGCAATTAGTGTTGCATGTTTTCATAGATGTTACCTCATTTTCAGTTTTGTGCTCAAATCCGCACATATCCAGGATATCTCCCTTATAAATGAGAAAATTAATGTTTGAAAATGTTTAGTTATACACTAGTAAGTGAGTAAGCCAAGTCCTGATTGCAACTACAATTTTCTGTCCACTAACCCTTTCTTCCAAAGTCATTGAGTCTTAATTCTTCTGTCAAAATCACTTCTGTGGAAATCAAAATGGCTGAAAAACATATATATCTTTGATAAATACAAAACTACTAAAATACAGAATATGCAGGTGTTACTATAGCCTTACACTTAAGTGAAAATAATTGCATCTCCCTTAGTCATTTTTTTTTTTTTAATCTAGTCAGAAGTCAACCAGGGCAAGGCACTGTGCTGGTCACCCAGTGGATATCAAGATGAGTAAGAGAGGTCCTTGCCTCAGAAGAGCTTGTAATTCTGTGTTGATTACATGTGTAAAGGAATAACAATAGCAAGCCTCTACAATAAAATCATAAGGATACTGTGATACAACACAGAAAGTGTTAAATGCTAACTGGGAAAATCAGGAATGGTTCTCAGTAAAGATATAGCAGTAGCTCCAAGTGTATTGGGAAAGGGCATGTAGGTAGGGGCGTGAGCAAAGGCACTGACACTTGGAAGTATTCCATCTTCAGACAATGGGGACTAAATGTGTAATGTGAGAATGGGAAACATGTGCAATGGGAAAGGAAGCTTAGCAAGTAGATGGGCAAGGATCAAGTGTCATTACAGGGAATCTAGAAACTGTAGGGAATCATCAAAAGTTCCAAAGAGGGGCGACTGTGTTGCTCAGATGGTTAAGTATCTGCCTTTGGCTCAGGTCATGATCCCAGGGTCCTGGGATTGAGTTCCACATTGGGCTCCCTGCTCAGCAAGGAGCCGCTTCTCCCTCTCCCTCTGCCCCTGCTTATGATCTCTATCTGTCAAATAAATAAATAAAATCTTAAAACACACACACACACACAATTTCCAAAGGGAGGAATGGCCTGATCATATCACTGATCTGGGAAGAACTCTTTAGCCAATATACAGTATGCACATGGCATTGGGGTAGAAACAAATTTCCATATTACTAGAGGGAGGCAAGCTGAGCAGTTTAGTCAAATATCAAGGTCAGTGTCCAATGAGTTTCAGGAATTTCATTGAGAGGATTTATGTACCAAAAAAACGTTGTTCTGGATGGCCACTGAAATTCTATTTCTAGTTTTAAAGTTCCAAGATTCATTAAATAAAAAAACTGTAGGAATTTACTTGAAATTAAAGTCATGTGTTCACCCTGTTAGGGAAAGAAAAAACAAGATAAACATATATTTTTTATATACACAGAAAATCTATGTATGCACGTATTCTTATCTTTCGTAAAAGCATCATTGCCTGTTTTGTCTCTTAAGTTCAGGAACAACACTTGTTAGCATCATTACGTATCATACACACGTATCGTGTGGGTGCTGCTGCTTTCTTGTCCTGGCCTGCTGTTAGCAATTCACTGTTACGTGTCTTACCCAGTAGTATAAAACATCCCTTATGGATGTGGATAATTCATGCTTGTGAGCACATAATCCTCAATATTAGAATAAAGCTATGTTTTTTATTTGAGAGAGAGAGAGAGAGAGTGCACACAGGCAGGAGGGGCAGAGAGAGGGAGAGAGCGTCGACTTTGCCTAATTATCTGGAAAGATTCAGGCTCAGTGAGGAACTCCGAAAAATGTGACATTGCTCCAATATTTTTTCTTCCCTGCAGGTCTTGAAACAGTTGCCTCCAATCCCGGGATGCCCATTAAGTGCCTAACTTCTAATCTCCTGCAGTCCAGGAGAAGGCTGGCTACATCCAGTGCCAGCAGCCAGTCGCATACCTTCGTATCCAGTGTGGAGTCCGAGAGCCACAGCAGTCCCAGATGGGAGAAGGACTGCCAGGTGAGAGTTTCGTATGTCACATTTACAATGGAGACGCTTTACACTTTTCCATGTAAATTCTGTAAGGAAATGAAACTGTTACATGAATGGCAGTCAAGGTAGTCTTTATTTGCCTGTATGTTCTGTCAATATTTTTAAATATTTCATTTCACATTCAAATGCAGAATTATTCGTAATTAATATATAGTGAGCTTGCAGAAAATTGATAGAAAACATTTGGTTCAGGGCATCTAGATGGTCTTTTTTTTTTTTTAATTCCCTACCATGACATAAACACTAGCTTATTGTGCTTTTTTTTTTTTTTTTTAAAGTATAATTTTAAAACTTGTACTACCTCCTTCTATACAGTATTCTTCCAGTTTCTCATTTAATGGAATGATAACTCTTTCAGATCAGAAATAACTTTTAGAACACAAGGTAATGTATGTGTGCCTTTAAAAGTATTTATTTTAAGGACATTTGCTTGCTAAGTGAATGGAGTTACTTAAAGTTATTTACTTAAGTATATATTCTGCTTTTGCCTTTTTAAGCTATTAAAACTGGTAAGTATTACAGGTGAGAGGAACAGAAGTTTCATTTTATTATTATTTTTTTTAAGAATTTATTTATTTATTTGACAGAGAGAGAGATCACAAGTAGGCAGAGAGGCAGGCGCGGGGCGGGGAAGCAGGCTCCCTGATGAGTAGAGAGCCCAATGGGGAGCTTGATCCCAGAATCCTGAGATCATGACCTGAGCCAAAGGCAGAGGCTTAACCCACTGAGCCACCCAGGCGCCCTTGAACTGAGGTTTTAAATTATGAAGTTTCCTTCGTAGAGTGCAGATAAAATAATGTTAGGTTAGAATAATGGTAATACACAAAGAATAAACCTTCTGTTCGAGTAAATAATTTGGATTGTATTTACTCCTTATTCTCAGTAATGTGATTTTCTTCATTGTTGGATATTTGTGTTCTCGAAGTAAGGTCAGATTATTTTTTAGTCAAGGCAGTGTTTCTCGATCTTTTCTCCTTCCCTTATAGGCTGCTCTACAGGTAATACACGCTACAGGATAAACAGATTTCCTTTCCTAATACTGTTATTTCACCTCCTTCCTGTTCAAGAAAGCATATTGTGTATTTCAAACCACACACACCCTTACCTTCTTTCTCTCTACTACTTCTGTATCCAGGCGGAATGCAATGATTGGATTATAGTGGTGCTTCTCAAGTTATGATGAGGGAGTGAGAATGGACCCGACCCTCTAAACCCTGGGTGACCTCTGTCTGCAGATCTAGGAGTTGTAATTTAGGGATTGTTGTCATTGTTATTCATGATGAAGCATTCCTTATTATTACTCAGTAAGTTAATAAGTTTGATTTTTCACATACCTAAAACAGGCAGGGTTAGAGTTTATTGAAGACACACTCTTACTGAGTAATGTTGTAAAAACCCTGATTACCGTGCACCAATTTCTGATACTCTGTACAAAGCTCTGATCACAGAAAAGCACCTGCAGATAGTTGAAATTCAAACAGATTTTAAGAAAAGTGTTTTGGGGGCACCTGGGTGGCTCAGTGGGTTAAGCCGCTGCCTTTGACTCGGGTCATGATCTCAGGGTCCTGGGATGGAGTCCCGCATCGGGCTCTCTGCTCGGCAGGGAGCCTGCTTCCCTCTCTCTCTCTGCCTGCCTCTCTGTCTACTTGTGATCTCTGTCTGTCAAATAAATAAATAAAATCTTAAAAAAAAAAAAAAAAGTGTTTTGTGGGCGCCTGGGTGGCTCAGTCGTTAAGCGTCTGCCTTCGGCTCAGGTCATGATCCCAGCATCCTGGGATCCAACCCCATATCAGGCTCCCTGCTCAGCAGGGGAAGCCTGCTTTCCCTCTCCTAGTCCCCCTGCTTGTGTTCCCTCTCTCACTGTGTCCCTTTCTGTCAAATAAATAAATAAATCTTAAAAAAAAAAAGAATTTTGTCATTAATGCATCATCATTTCATCTTGTTGACAGTGGATTTTAATTCCTGTTATTTTGGGGTTTTTACTATAAATTATGATTAATTTAGCTTCATCTTTATCAGTTTGGTTTTATTATACAAGGTGATACCTGTTTATATTAAAATTTTTGTCTATAATTTTCCTTTAACTATATTTTAAGTCCTGTGCATTTTGTAATTCAAAACAGAATCATCTATACCCCTATTGCAAAGCAGAGATATACATAATATAGCCTTACCCTTGGTTTTGCCTGAAAATGTTGCCTATTAATTTGTCCTGTTTAAAGAATGTGTATCAAATATGTATTCTAGGATATCAAACACATATTATACAAATACATATTAAATAATGAAAAGACATATTAAAGACTAGTTTATTTGAATTCTAGACTAGTGTTTCACTTAAAATATATGTAAAAACATGCTTTAATTGTTTATATTGCTCTTTAATTCTCTGTTATTGTTCTGTTATTCCAGGGGAAAGTGGGACTAGGTAGCATAGTAGTTTATGGGGTCATTTATTCCACCTAAGTCAACAGAGGTTTTAAAAGTTCAAGAATCTCAGTGTTACACACTAAAAAAGTGTTTTTTCCTCCCTCTCAGGAAAGTGACAATGCACTGGGCTCTACAGTGATGAGTTGGAATATAATAGAAAAGCCTTCATGTACAAAATCAACCAATGCCATTGAGACCCAAGTTTTCAATAAAAAGGATCTTGAGTTAGCCCTTTCTCCCATTCATAACAGCAGTACCATTCCTGAGACTGGAAGCTCTTGTGTAAACCTGGCTAAAAAATGCCTCCCCAAGGAAGTTTCTTGGCAAGCAAGAGAACTGGATATAGATAATATTCATGTGGCCACTGACACAGCACAGTCTGGTTTTCACCAGTCAGATCAGTGGGCTGTAGATCCTGGTGATAGGACTGCAGAGCACCTTGGGAAAAGAATTTTTAAAAGAACTTTTGAGTTAGTTGACTCTAGTCCTTGTGAGACCATCATACAGAATAAAAAAAACTGTATAGAGCATAAATCTAGAAATGAAATGAACGATGGTTATATAAACCAAAGGACAGGCTTAACAATGAAAGTCCAAGACCTGAAGCTATCAGTGTGTGGAGGTCAGCAAGGTGACTGTGCTGATAAGGAGAAACATGGTCAGTTCTTTCACTGATAAACCACAAACTCCAGAAAAATCACCTATCCCAATGATAGCAAAAAACCTTCTGTGTGAACTGGATGAGGATTGTGACAAGAATAATAAGAAAGACCTCCTAAGTTCGAGTTTTCTATGTTCCGATGACGAGAGAGCTTCTAAAAGTATGTGTATGGACTCCGATTCATCTTTTCCTGGAATTTCTATCATGGAGAGTTCATTAGAAAGGCAGTCCTTGGATCCAGATAAAAGCATCAACGAATCCTCTTTTGAAGAATCAAACATTGAAGACCTACTTACCGTATCACCCAACTGGCAAGAAAATACCTTGCCAAAAGGCGATGAGAATCCTGCTGTCCAAGACAGTAGCCAAAAAATGTTAGCTCCGTCTTCAGAGGTGCTGAAAACATTAAGCTTACCTAAAAGAAATGCTGTAGCTTTTTGAAGTTTTAACAGTCATATCAATGCATCCAATAACTCAGAACCATCCAAAATGAGCATTACCTCTTTAGATGCAATGGATATTTCCTGCATTTATAGCAGTTCATATCCCATGGCTATAACCCCTAATCAAAAAGGAGCATCCTATAAGCCATATCAAGTATGTTCCACCTTTTTAACACTTTGTTTGGTTTTGTTTTTTAAAAAAGTTTATTTATTTATTTGACACAGAGAGGGAGAGAGAATGAGCACAAGCAGGGAGAGTGAGAGAGGGAGAACCAGGCTCCTCGTTGAGCAGGGAGCCCAAGGTGGGGCTCAATCCCAGGACCCTGGGATCATGACCTGAGCTGAAGGCAGACACTTAACCCATTGAGTCACCCAAGCACCCCTTTCTAACACTTTGTTGTTGATTTTATGACAATAAACTATGAAGGCCAGGTACTTACCTCTTACCTAGACTATCTGAGATTTTCTGTTCTGCTGCTTGGGAATCTTTGGATTGTTGGAGGTTTTGCTGCAGAAAGTTAAGCTGGTAGCAATTTATTATTTTTAACTATAGCACCTTCTTCATTTGTGCTCTAGGCTTGCACATATTTTCTTTTTTTAAGATTTTATTTATTTATTTGGGAGAGCACATGCATGTACAAGCAGCAAGGAGGGGCAGAGGGAGAGGAGGAACAGATTCCCCACTGAGTAGCGAGCCCAATTCGAGGCTTGATCCCAGGATCCCAGGGTTCATGACCTGAGCTGAAGGCAGCCACTTAACTGACTGAGCCACCTAGGGGACCCTAGACTTTCACGTATTCTCAATCACATATTTACATATTTATAGTGACATATTTTCACTTGAAAATAGCAACTCTAAAATATAATATTAAAGTTAACTCTATCTTTAGTCCCTTCTAAGGACTTTCATAAATTATCTCTTTTCTTTATAGAAAATAGTTGGAAAATAGATATTTCAAATCTTATATTGTTTTTATTTTCTAAACCTTTATTTTCATAAACCCAAAGTTTCATTTTTTTCCCCTTTTTTTTGGAGAGGCAACATAAACTTGAAAGTACAAACCCTGATTTAGGGTCACAAGAGTTGGGATTTTCTATTCAGAAGTTGCTGAGTGACGTAGAAGTCCCTTTTCCTCAAAGCCTGTTTCTTATCTCTCTGTAGAATATGCTTACACCTGTTCTGCTTGTCTCACAGAATCCTTGTAAGACCACAGAATATTTTTAAAACTTAACTACCAATTAGCGCAAGAAGTTATTTATATTTAGTACCAGCTGATGTGTTGTCCCAATAATTCAATCATTTATAAGCCACAACATCATCCCTTAGTGACCATTCTGAAGTTCCTATTAGTCCATGCTATCGAGAAAGAAATTTTTCTTAAGGATTCCTTCATTCCTTCTTGCATATCTAGATGTTACTGAAATAATTGGTCTTATCTAAGCTATTTCATTTCACCAGATATCAAGACTGTTCAAAATGTTAGTAATGAGTCCGTTTTCAAAACCGATCAGGAATTTGCATAGGCCTTTTATGCCCAGCAGCCTAGCTTTGCTTTTGTTTTTAGCATTTCCGTTCACTGTAAGAGGAAAGACAATATTTATTGTAAACTATTTTTAAATTAGCAGACCACGAAACAGGTCAAATCAGGAACTCCATATCAAACTCCGAAGAGTGTGAGGTGAGGGGCGGCCCCCATGGATGAAGGGCGGATTCTTGGAACCTCAGACTACCTGGCACCTGAGCTCTTACTGGCCAGGGCCCATGGTAAGTCTTCCATGTCTTTGAGTTTCTGAAGTGTTCTCTATCACTGCATTTTCTTTTGAGGTAAAATTGTTCTAAATTTCTTTGGTATTTGGATTACCTTTAGAGAGTAAAAGAAAAGGAACTCATGTGATACTGTTTTTCTCATAAATAAGGCATTTCTTATGGCAAAAGAAGACATGCAGCCATTTGTCCTTTGCATTCCCACTCAGTCTCAGTGACCCCGAGCAGCCCTACCGTCCAGCGGCTCTGCTATCTTAGTTCAAAACATCTCACCAGCTTTGGCTCGGGAATACAAAGTTGAACAAGAACTTCTGTTCAGTCACAGCAGCGCATTCCTGTTTAGAGCTCGCCCTCACTTATCCCCTCACCACAAGGGTCAAGCCAGAAGTGAGCCATCTTCGGGATGCAGCAGAGGAAGACCAGGATGGCATTTCTACCTAGCCTCTTTATTCCCCTTTCTCTCTCTGAAGAATTTTCCCCTCCTGCCGTCTGAAGTGAACTGGATTGGTCTCCTAGGGCTACATCATCAAGTGCCACAAACTGGATGGTTCAAAGCAACAGGAATTGATTGCCTGACAGTTCTGGAAGTGGAAGTCTGGCACCAAGGTGTTGACAGGACCATGCTCCCTCCGAAACGTGTAGGGCAACGACCTTGCCCTTCCAGCTTCTGCTGGTTTGCGAGCAACCCTTGGCTTGCAGGGGCCTCACTCGAGCCAGCATGTCGCATTCCCCCTGCCTCCATGGTCACGTGGCTGTGTTTTATGACACCAGCCATATTGGCTTAGGGGCCCACCCTACTCCCCTGTGACCTCTGCAGGGACCATTTTTCCAAATGGCACACTCAGAGGACCTCAGGGTTAAGACTCGAACATGTCTTTTCAGGCAGACATAATTCAGTCCATAATGTGGTCGTCTTCTTGATCGTGTCAGTTACTTCCCTATTCTTGGGGCTCTTTCCGGTGATCCAACTGTCTCATCTTCACCTCAACCCCCCATCCCACACAAGCGCGTGCGCACACACACACGCGCGCTCCTTCTATTTTTATTTCTATGCTGCCTTTTCTCTTTAGCCTGCAAATAAGCTTCCACTCTTGTCTTTCACCACCGCCTAACTTCTCAAAGGTCGCCTCTTTCCTTTGCCTAATTATTTTTGCCCTGGCAATCTGATTGTTATCCCTACCATTTAACTGACACTTTTTTTTTTTCAAAATTTCTATTTGTAAGTGATCTCTACACTCAACATCGGGCTCGAACTCACAACCCTAAGATCAAGAGTCATCCACTCTATTAACAGAGCCAGCCAGGCGCCCCTAACTGGCACTTTTTTATTAAGTCATCAATGCTGTCATTCTTGTCACATCTACCAGCCTCTTCTCAGTCTCCTTCCTTCCTTTTACCTCTGTGGCCAACTCCTTAGCTCTTCAGTATATGGAGATTCTTCATGATCCTGCCCTTTCCCTTTTTTCCCTACTCCTGCTTCCGGTTAATGTCATCTCTTCCATGACTTCAGCCGTCAGACCCTTGTCGATACTCCCCAGATATCTGCCTCTACTCCTGACTTTCTCTAGGCTGCATACACATGGGGAAAGCGCCTACTCAGCATTTCACTGGTGATTCAGTGCTGTATGTCAAAATGGGACGGGTCCAGTTTGCTCTTCCTCCGTTCACTCTCTGAAATCTGCCATCTTTGTGATGACACAGACATTGTCCCTGCCTTCAGGCGTTTAAATCCTGTCGGTTCTGTCCCTGCAGAATTTCTTCTCATCTTTTCATCTCTGCCACTATCCTCTGTAAGAACGTCCTCTTTTCCTTTCATTAGTTTACTAGCTCTCTTCCTGGGCCATCAACTTCATCCTCTTGTCTATAATCACTGCCACCAGATTTTCCCTCTTAAGACATAAAGTGGTCAGTCCATCTGCTCTCCTTGAAAACCATGTTGGCTCCTTCCTACCTGCAAAATAAAATCCAGACCACTGATCACAGCATCAGAGGCTCTCAGCTCTTATACCAGCCTTGTCTCTCAAGGAATCTCTATTTCTTTTATAAAGAACAAAAATGTATTTCGCACACATGGTTCTGGAGTCTGGGTGGTCTACGATCAAGGCACAGGCAGATTCAAAGAATCCCTTTATAGGTCTTATGTTCCCATTCCACTTCTTAGACACATTTATTTTCAGGTTTTCCTTATTTTGTGCAAGTATTTTGCCTTAGTTGAAAAAAGCCAGAACCCAATCCTCTTCCCATTAAATTTCTTCTCATCTCATCATCAGTTCAAATGTTACCTTTTCCACAGAGCATCCATTGGTCAATTATGGAGAAGTAGTTGTTCACGTCTCTGTCACTTTATTAGAAACTGTTTAAAGCATATGTCATTTTACCTATGTTATTATATTTGTCTCCACTATAAAAGCTTAAGAAAATTTCTCAAGATGAGAGAATCCAGAAGGATTCCTTGGTAGCACTCACTAAACACTGTTAATAATCTCTAAATGTGTTGAGACACATTTCAAATTCCCCTTTATCAGCCAAAGCAACTAAGTTCTTCTGGGCACTTAAACTGACTTTTGTACAGTGTCTCTGTTTCTAAGTCACAGGTTTGTCAGCTCATTTCCTATAACATACGTTTTCTCTGCTTAGGATACAGTATAAAAGTAAGCTTCAAGTATAAAGATTTGCTTTTTAGGATCTTGCCTCTATTTTAATGGGACATCTAGTTATCTCAGCTATCTAGTGATTTATTTTAAGATTTTCATTTTCTATAAAATATTTGATACACCATTCTTAAAACAACAAATAATACAAAGCAATTTTTTTTAAAAGTAGGTTCCACACCCAGCTTGGAACCCAACACAGGGCTTGAACTCACGACTTTGAGATACAGACCTGAGCTGAGATCAAGAGGCAGACACTTAACCCACTGAGCCATCAAGGGCCCCAGTACAAAGCAATTTATAACTGAAAAAGAAAAAACACTGCTTTATACTTCTTTCCCAAATCCCCAGGCCTGGAGGGCAGTCTCTATAACAATTTTGTTTCTTACATTCACCTCTTTGTTTCTAAACATCTTGCTGAGGACAGTTAAGACTTCTCTGAGCCCTCCATGGTCTCTCCATCCCCCACTGCCAATTACTTAGGAACTCTGGCCAGAGTTTCCCATAGCTTCTTAGGCTGTTTTTACTTCTTTTCTCTTAACATTGTGTCGAAATTATCTGTTTTGTCTCTCCTAGAGTAGGTTGTTTTCTTCTTGAAGAAAGCTCTCTTTCTTCTTTATCTTTGTGACCCTTGTGTCTCGCATAATATTTAGGATCTAGTTGGGTGAATGATGTGNTTCTTCTTGAAGAAAGCTCTCTTTCTTCTTTATCTTTGTGACCCTTGTGTCTCGCATAATATTTAGGATCTAGTAGGGTGAATGATGTGAGAATGAACTCATGATTTTAATACAATGTACCTAACTACTCTTTTCTTACTGTGCAGGATTTCTGACTTCCGGTGAGTGAGCTTCTCTGTAAAGTAATACAGCAAAGCAAATTAAACTGGTCAAAGTATAACTAGATCACATAGCATGAAAAATTTTTTTCCCTTTCATCTTAGGAAATACAAAATGAACTGTATTCTGTCTTCTAAACAGGAGGACATCCAGAGAGAATGTTCTCTATGAAAACAAATGTAGGCATGTAGCATTTTTAAAATAACATTTAAATTGTCAGAGCATAAAGATACAGCCTTCTTATTGCAACCCAAAAAACAGGCTTAATAAAAAATGTTAAAATTAGCACCAACAAGAAGGCTTTAATTTTCCTACTCATTTAGTCCCATTATTATTAGAAAACAGAAAGGCATAACAGTATCAATGGAAAAATTACAGATGGGGGTTTTGTATTAGAAAACCGATAGTGTAAAACAAGTTTGTTCTATTTTTCTGGCTAACGGCATGTATTATAATTCCTACAATTTATCATCATATGTGATCTTATTAGACTTTGACTCAAATATATGGGTATGTGTGACATATCCATGGAGAAATCATGGAAGTTTTTGACATGAGTATATTTTGGCTGAGCTGGGAGAAGGGTTCTAATTTCTAACCTGAGTAAAATAATGAAGATAGATGTTTTTTCCTGACTTCTCCCCTTCTTTTCTGTTATTTGGTTATACTATCTATTCTTTCTCAGTGCTCCTTAAAAGGCCTACTATCTGAGGTGGTTTGTGTGTTTTTTTTATAGTGATTATTATAAAAATGGAAATGTATAGACTGTTTACATTCTATGTTCGTTAGGGAAGATGGGATTACATGGCTTGCTATGAAGACACACTCTGAATGCATGCAATTGTTTTCCTAATGGCAGATTCTATAGTACTTTCCTACTTGTTTTAAAATGGAATGGTGTAGGGTCGCCTGGGTGGCTCAGTGGGTTAAAGCCTCTGCCTTCGGCTCGGGTCATGATCCCAGGGTCCTGGGATCGAGCCCCACATGGGGCTCTCTGCTCAGTGGGGAACCTGCTTCCTCCTCTCTCTCTGCCTGCCTCTCTGCCTACTTGTGATCTCTATCTGTCAAATAAATAAATAAAATCTTAAAAAATAAATAAAATGGAATGGTGGCATTTACTTAACCACAGTAATAAATTTTGTGAAATTGATTTTATAGCAGTTTATTTTTTTATTCGATTTTTTTTTTTAATTTACTTGAGAGAGAGAGAGAGCAAGCAGAGAGAACACGAGCAGGGGAGAGGGGCAAAGGGAGAGGGAGAAGCAGACTCCCGGCTGAGCAGGGAGCCCAACATGACGCCACTGGGATCATGACCTGAGACAAAGGCAGACGTTTAACTGATGGAGCCACCCAGGCACCGGCTTTCCACTGAGCAGGGAGCCTGATGTGGGGCTTGATCCCAGGACTCTAGGATCATGACCTGAGCTGAAGGCAGCTGCTTAACCGACTGAGCCACCCAGGTGTCCCTAGAGAGTAATCTTTAGATTAAATGTATTTCTTTGTTGTGTTTTAGGATTTAGAACAAGTAAATATCCAGAATATCAGAGGTCATTAGTGACAAAGGAAAGATAGCTTTAACTTTTCTTGACTAGCTGTGTTTTACTTTTTTAAGGATTTTATTTCTTTATTTGACACAGAGAGAGAGATCACAAGTTAGCAGAGAGGCAGGCAGAGAGAGAGGGGGAAGCAGGCTTCCTGCCTAGCAGAGAGCCCGATGCGGGGCTTGATCCCAGGACCCTGAGATCATGATTCAGGCCAAAGGCAGCGGCTTAACCCACTGAGCTACACCCAATAATTAGTGATAATTACTAATCTAAACTTCTTAGAGAATAGAGAAGGAAAATAATTGCCATGTTACTGAAATAAAGATAATTTGGGTTTTTGCACCTTATGGAGCTAGAAGAAAACCTTAGAAATGAATGCCTTGACTGTGCCCAAATATCCATATATTAACACTTTAGTTGATGAAATATTTGTACAAAATGCTTACAAGTTCAACTACTCCCTCTTAAATTCTAGGTCCTGCAGTAGACTGGTGGGCACTTGGAGTTTGCTTGTTCGAGTTTCTAACTGGAATTCCTCCTTTCAATGATGAAACACCACAACAAGTATTCCAGAATATTCTGAAAAGAGGTGATTCTTTTTCTATTAAGATAGATGTATTTATCTCTGTGTAATATTTGAACAATGATTAACAAGCTACTTGTATTTGTAGATATCCCGTGGCCTAAAGGTGAAGAAAAGTTATCTGATAATGCTCAAAATGCAGTAGAAATACTTTTAACTATTGATAATACAAAGAGAGCTGGAATGAAAGGTAAGGTTTTGTGTTAATAAACTCTTATCCTTGAATTGTGTAAGATGAATGGTAATAATGATACCGAGTACTAATACGATACCATAAACAATCTGTCTGCTGAATCGGTTAAAAATTTCTTCAGTTTACTTTTGCCTGCTAAATATGCATTGATATATTTCTCCTTACTCTGCATTAAAATTCAGTACATCAGGTTAGGATATTCAATCACTGAATTAATATTCATTAATTCTATTAATCTCAAACAGGTACCTTAAAGCAATCTTATCTTGTCAGTGTCTTGGGTTTTTTCAAAGCCTGATAAAGTTATTCATTGGCCAATACAGGAAATTTTTTTACTCTCTTCTGAAATTTCTTACTGCTTCATTTCTGATACCACTGTTGACTAAGAAATGTATCAGTTGGGCGCCTGGGTGGCTCAGTGGGTTAAGCCACTGACTTCGGCTCAGGTCATGATCCCAGGGTCCTGGGATCGAGTCCCGCATCGGGCTCTCTGCTCAGCAGGGAGCCTGCTTCCCTCTCTCTCTCTCTGCCTGCCTCTGTCTACTGTGATCTCTCTCTGTCAAATAAATAAATAAAATCTTTAAAAAAAAAAAAGAAAGAAAGAAAGAAATGTATCAGTTGCTAGATTGTCTCAAATAAGATCTGGTATATTTGTGACCCTTCAATAGTTTTTACCAATGCAGGCATATATTAAACTCCAATTTTGAAACTAGAAGAACTCATTGGCTTTGATTTTTCAAATTAGGCTTAATGTCAGCTGCCCTAAAATCCTTTTTGTAATGAAGTATACATAGACACAAAGAAGGAGTTGTGTCTCCAAATGCATTTCCATGTGGTGTAAGGTATTTAGAAAAATGAGATTTAGTAATATGTCACTTGTATCAGCTTCTAGGTGTTCCCTCTAATAAGATTAACAGTTTATTTATTTATTTAACAAATCCTATAGAGTGACTTCTAGGTGCCAGGCAATGTTGCTGTGGTGCTGGAGGTACCCTAGGGATGAACCAGACTAAAATCCATGTGCTTGTACAACTTACTCTCTAGGGGAGAGACATAAGGTAATGAGATACAACCAGGACACCATGACATCTAGGAGTGAGTATGGAGAAGAAAGATAAGGCAAACCATTCATTCACTCATTTGACAAATACAGACCAAGCACCTGTCATGTGTCAAGTGTTAGACAAAATGACATAATGTGTGCCAGTATGTAGTACATGGTTGCAGAGAGACAGACATATGTGTGAAGCAGTACTTACTTAGGTAATGGCGTCATAATACTCTATTTTGTTTTATATTTTTCCTAAGAGCTGAGACGTCATCCTCTCTTCAGTGATGTGGACTGGGAAAATCTGCAGCATCAAACTATGCCTTTCATACCCCAACCAGATGGCGAGACAGATACTTCCTATTTTGAAGCCAGAAATAATGCTCAGCACCTGACCGTATCTGGATTTAGTCTATAGCACATAAATTTTCCTTTTAATCTAATCTTTTTTTATAAGCTATCATATACTCCTTCATAGCAGATTGATCTAAGGGGGAAAAAGAATCATTATGTTACTTGGATCAGTGAGCTTCCACAGAGTTAAAAAAGTCTCACAAGAACACAGTAACTTATCTTAATCTCAGAGTTGTATATAAATCTTCATAACTTTTTTCACTTTATTTATTTTGTTGCTGCACTTTATGAAAATTAATGCATCAGTAAAACTAGAATGACACTACTCTGTTAAGAGAGGAACAAGCTTTGAGCCTTTCTTTCACATGTTGATTTCAGTCCACCATTCAGTTTGGTGTTAAAATAACAAAATCATACGGTTTTTTTGTAATTTATGTGGACATGATTGCCTGCAAAAGTGGAAGTCTCAAGAGCAATCATTTAAGCTTGCATTTGTGGCCTCAAAACTGCAGCGGGGAAATTCCTTCACTTGGTAGTGTAACTCCTTTAGGGAATGAGGAATAAAAAGGATAGAGGCTTTAGCTTACTTTACTATGAAACAGTCTTACAGCAAGTCAGTCTTGCTGCCTTGACTGCTTCTGGTTCTTTCTTTACAATATATATTTGCTCAAAATTATACTGGAGAGCTTAGGTGTGATATGTTATAGCAATTTTAACAGTTTATTCAAATTTAATAAAACATGTGATGGTTTACATCTTAAGAGAATTTGTTTAAAACACATGCAACAGGGGCGCCTGGGTGGCTCAGTGGGTTAAGCCGCTGCCTTCGGCTCAGGTCATGATCTCAGGGTCCTGGGATCGAGTCCCGCATCGGGCTTTCTGCTCAGCAGGGAGCCTGCTTCCCTCTCTCTCTCTGCCTGCCTCTCGGTCTACTTGTGATCTCTCTCTGTCAAATTAATAAATAAAATCTTTAAAAAAAAAAAAAAACATGCAACATTACAAGAAACAACCTGATACTTAAAAATAAATAATTTATTTTTGCTTAATAAATGTAACACTTCAAGTATATTATCTGTCAACATCCTTCTATTAATTATATATACATACTAAGATTCAACTTCACTATAATTCATTACCCAGTGGTAAGTAAGTGAGTGAGTAGTCAGAGACGAAGATGGTGACAGAGTAGGAGGACCCTAATCTTGCCTTGTCCCATGAATAGAACTACATAACTATCAAATCATCCTAAATACCCCAGAAATAGACCTGAAGACGAACAGACCAACTTCACAACTAAAGGGAGAGAAGAAGCCACATCGAAGAAGGTAGGAAGTATGGAGACAAGGTTTAGGAGAGAAAATGGATCCTGGTTGCTGTGGAGCGGGGGAGCTGTGGTCACGGAGAAGGGCAAGGGAGAGGAGCACACTAGATCACACAAGGAGAAGGTTTCCGCATAGCCACTCGCTTGGAAAACAAGAGGGGCTGAATTTCATGAGTTCTTGCAACTGGGAGGGCGTAAAGCCTGGAGTTTTCAAGGTCAGCAGGACTGATTGGGATAGAGCCCAAAGGCACTATGCTGCTCCTAGAGGCAAGGCAGACAACCCTGGGAGCAGACAGCTTGAAAAGAGCAATCTGAAGAGTGCCAGGGCACATGGTGAAGAGAATACTCCCTCTCCTTGGAGCTGTCCCTGAGTGGCAGAGTTCATGGAGACACCTCTCCAGGGACAGAGGAGCCAGCTAGTGCCATTTCCCTCCCCACCCCCACTCCAACCCCAACCCCCCACCCCCACCCAGCATATACACAGAGCCCCCGTAGGAAACACTGTGGCACCAATATTGACTACCTAACTTGCTTACACCAAGCACCTTCCCCTTGCACTCCCGTGGAACCACCCTTCTCAGTCACACTTGCCTGAGTCCCACTGTGGGGCCCCCCTCCCCCAGAAGACCAGAACAAAGCCCAGCCTATACCACATCTCCTGACCAGAGTTTTGCAGGACCTCAGTTCCAGTGGAGGCTCGTTTCACGAGCAGACCGAAGCCCACCTAGTTAAAACTCACCACATCCAAGCCAGGTACCAAACACTGCCCACAGCAGGCAAAGAGCCTCTGCAGATGACTGGCCTCAAGGACAGAGCAGCCAAAACAATACAACAGCAGAGTGCACACAACACACACCAGAGGCACTCCCTGAAGGACCAGGCTGTGGACACTGTGGGACATCTTCATAAGGCCATTACTGTCAGGAGCAGGAGACCTAAATTGGAACACAGACAAGAAGGCAGTGACTTAGACAAAATGAGAAGTCAGAGAAATTTATCCCAGATGTAAACAAGATAAGGCCACGGCCAAAGATCTAAATGAAACAGATATAAATAACATGCCCGTTAGAATTTAAAACAACAGTCATAAGGATACTCACTGGGCTTGAGAAAAGAATAAAAGACATCAGTGTGATCCTTACCATAGAGAAAAGTTAAAAAAGAAGCAGAGATGAAGAGTGCAATACATGAGATTAGAAACGTGCTTCTAAAAGTCTGGAAGAAGCAGAGGAATGAATTAATGACCTAGAAGACAAAGCAGTGGAAAGCAAAGAAGCTGAACAAAAGAGAGAATTATGCAAAATGAAAATAGAGTTGGGAAACTCATTGACTGACTCCACCAAATGTAATAATATTTGTATTATAGGATCCCCAGAAGAAAAAGAGAAAAGGGGACAGGAAATTTATTTGAAGAAATAATAGCTGAAAAATTCCTTAATCTGGAGAGGAAAACAGACATCCAGATCCAGAAGGCAATGAGAACTCCCATCAAAATCACTAAAAGGGGGCGCCTGCGTGGCTTAGTGGGTTAAGCCTCTGCCTTAGGCTCGGGTCATGGTTTTGGGGTCCTGGGATCGAGCCCCACATCGGGCTCTCTGCTCAGCGGGGAACCTGCTTCCCCTCTCTCCCTCTGCCTGCCTCTCTGCCTACTTGTGATATCTCTCTCTGTCAAATGAATAAATAAAATCTTTTTAAAAAATCAATAAAAGGAGGCCCACACCAAGGAATACTGTAATTATGGGGTGCCTGGGTGGCTTAGTCGGTTAAGCATCTGCCTTCGGCTCAGGTCATGATCCCAGGGTCCTGGGAATTGAGCCCCATATCGGGCTCCATGCTCATTGGAGAGCCTCCCTCTCCCTCTCCAGCTCCCCCCACCTTGCTTGTGTTCCCTCTCTCTCTCTCTCTCTGTCATAAATAAATAAAATCTTTTTTAAAAATACTGTAATTAAATTTGCAAAATCTTAACAAAAGAAAAGAAGTCATTAACTTACAAGGAAAAACCCATAAGGGTAGCAAGAGATTTTCCAAAAAAACACTTGGCAAACCAGAAGGGAGTGGTGTGTTATATTCCAGTGCTGAACGGAGAAAAATCTGCAGTCAAGAAAACTATCTGTGGGGCACCTGGGTGGCTCACTGGGTTGGGGCCTCTGCCTTCGGCTCGGGTCATGATCCCAGAGTCCTGGGATCGAGCCCCACATCGGGCTCTCTGTTCGGCGGGGAGCCTGCTTCCTCCTCTCTCTCTCTGCCTGCTTGTGATCTCTGTCTGTCAAATAAATAAATAAAAAATCTTAAAAAAAAAAAAAAAAAAGAAAAGAAACTCTATCCACCCTGAGCAGCACCATGGCGGTAGGTTGGCAAGAACAAGCGCCTTACAAAAGGCAGCAAAAAGGGAGCCAAGAAGAAAGTGGTTGATCCGTTTTCTAAGAAAGCACCAGCTATATTCAAAATAAGAAATATTGGAAAAACATTAGTCATAAGAACTCAAGGAACCAAAATTGCATCTGATAGCCTCAAGGGTCGTGTTTTTGAAGTGAGCCTTGCTGATCTGCAGCATGATGAAGTTGCATTTAGAAAATTCAAGCTAATTACTGAGGATGTTCAGGGCAAAAACTGCCTAATTTCCACGGCATGGATCTCACCCAGGACAAAATGTGCTCCATGGTCAAAAAATGGCAGACCATGATTGAAGCTCATGTTGATGTCAAGACTACCGATGGTTATTTGCTTCATCTGTTTTGTGTTGGTTTTACTAAAAAATGCAATAATCAGATTCAGAAGACCTCTTATGCTCAGCACCAAGAGGTCTGCCGAATTCGGAAAAAGATGATGGAGATCATGACCCAAGAGGTCCAGACTAATGACTTGAAAGAAGTGGTCAATAAATTGATTCCAGACAGCAATGGAAAAGATAAAGAAAAAGCTTGTCAGTCTATTTATCCACTCCATGATGTCTTTGTTAGAAAAGTAAAAAATGCCGAAGAAGCCCAAGTTTGAATTGGGAAAGCTCATGGAGCTTCATGATGAAGGTAGTAGTTCTGGAAAAGCTACTGGGGATGATACCGGTGCTCAAGTTGAACGAGCTGATGGGTATGAGCCACCAGTCCAGGAATCTGTTTAAAATTCAGACATTAAGTGGTGACAAATAAAAAACCTTATTTGTGATGTTTAAAAAAAAAATAGAATACTCTATCCAGCAAGGCTATCATTCAAAATAGAATGAGAGATAAAGAATTTCCAAACAAAATAAAGGAGTTTGTGGCCACTAAACGAGCCATGCAAGAAATATTAAAGGGTACCCTGATTGGAAAGGAGAGATCAAAAGTGATAGTATAAAGACAGGAAACATAAAAGCAGTAAAAAGAACTTTTTTTGAAAGATTTTATTTGAGAGAGAGAGTACAGTCAGGGGGAGAGGGAGAGGGAAAAGCAGGCTCCCCGCTGAGCAGGGAACAGCCGGTGGGGCTCAATCCCAGGACCCCGGATCATGACCTGAGCTGAAGGCAGATGCTTAACTAAATGAGCCCCCAGGAGCCCCCTGTTGCATTTCTATACACCGATAATGAAGCAACAGAAAGAGAAATTAAGGAATCAATTCCATTTACAATTTCACCAAAGACACTAAGATACCTAGAAATAAACCTAAACAAAGAGATAAAAGACCTATACTCTGAAAGCTACAAACACTGATTAATTTGAAGATGACACAAAGAAATGGAAAGATATTCCATGTTCATGGTTTGGAAGAACAAATATTGATAAAATATCTACACTACCCAAAGCAGTCTACACATTTAATACAATCCCTATCAAAATATTAAAAGCATTTTTCACAGAGCTAAAACAAACAATCTTAAAATATG